CCCCCGGCTCTCTGTCTTCCCGCCAATCTGCTCTCTGTCTCTCTATGGATCTGTCTCTTTGGACATTTCATATAAACGGGATCATACGACACGTGGCCTCCCGTGTGTGTTCTTCAGCGAAAGAAACTCAGCATAAATGTCTCAGAGCTTCATCCGTGTTGTAGCGTGTGTCCGAACTCCATTCCTTTACGATGGCTGAGTAATATTCCATCGCATGGACGTTATCCCCGTGTATTTATTCACTCACCTTCCTTCCTTCCTTCCTTCCTTCCTTCCTTCCTTCCTTCCTTCCTTCCTCCCTTTCATTCCTCTCTCCCTCCCTCCTTTCTTTCTTTCATTTGTTCTTTCTTTCTTTCTTTCTTTCTTTCTGAGCTTTTTCATGTGCTTATTGGCCATTTATAGACCTTCCTCGGAGAAACATCTATTTGAATGCTTTCCATATTTTTTTTCATAATTGAGTTTTCATTGGTTGTTCTGAGGGTCAGTACAGACAATTCAGTTTGTACACAATTCTTAGTATGTACTGAAAATCTAAAAAAATCACATAGTTGTGATTCTCTTCGAAAAGTTGTTCCAGTGACCCTCCAGCTTAAAATTCGGAGGCACGTTTTCCTTAACAGGATATCAAGTACCAATATCTTCAAATGTTGACAGGCTGTCACATTAAGTCCCTCTTTTCCTTATTTTTTAATCGGGCTATTTGTTTCCTTTTGAGTTGTAAGAGTGCTTCATATATTCTGGATATCGATCCCTTGTCAGATACAAGATTTGCAGATAATTCTCCTTCCATTCTGTGGGTTGCCTTTTCAACTTTCTTTTTAGAATTTTTTTTAATGTTTATTCAGTTTTGAAAGACAGAGAGAGAGAGAGACAGAGCACAAGCGGGGTGTGGGGGTGGGGGTGGGGAGGACACAGAACCTGAAGCAAGCTCCAGGCTGTCAACACGGGGCTGGAACTCACAAACCGCAAGATCATGACCTGAGCCAAAGTCGGATGCTTAACCGACTGAGCCACCCAGGCGCCCCTGCCTCTTCAACTTTCTTAGGAATGACCTTGGTCAATTTTTGTTGTTTTTCTTTTTTTTTTTCTTTTTTTTCTTTTTTTTTTAAATTTTTTTTCAACATTTTTATTTATTTTTGGGACAGAGAGATACAGAGCATGAACGGGGGAGGGGCAGAGAGAGAGGGAGACACAGAATCGGAAACAGGCTCCAGGCTCCGAGCCATCAGCCCAGAGCCCGACGCGGGACTCGAACTCACGGACCGCGAGATCGTGACCTGGCTGAAGTCGGACGCTTAACCGACTGCGCCACCCAGGCGCCCCTTGTTTTTCTTTTTAATTTGATGGAGACCAATTTACGTATTCCTTTGGTTGCTTGTGATTAGGTGTCATAGCTAAGAATTCTCCCGGCCTTCCAGGCACTTGTCCCATCCTCCTGCCCCCAGCCCCTCCCTCGGGTCCTGGCCGGAACACCCCCCCACCCCACTGGGGTTGGGGCGTCTGCGCCCTGCCCTCGTTCCCCCAACCGGGAGGCCTCTTGGGCCCGCACCCTGCAGCCTCCATCAATGTTTAATAACGAACAGAGCGCACGGAACCTTGGCAAGGACGCGGGAAACCCCGCCCGGAGTCACCCGCCCGCATCCAGCGAGGGGGCCCCCGTGGCCACAGATGGGGGCCGCGACCACGCTGGGCCCCGCTGTCCAGGTGGAGCCAGCGGGACATGGGTTTTGGGGGGGGGGG